GCCTGCAGCTGTAACACTCTGTGCAGCTTCTCTTGCAAGGTCCACTGCCACTGCAACAGACTGAACCTCACCAGTCACAGGTTGCCTCTGCCTCCCACCTGGGATACCTTGCAACACATGCCGCTACGCGTGACGAATCGTTGCCACAGACAGCTGCCCCCATGCCTCCACCAAGAAATCAACAGCTTTCTTGACGTTGAATTTCTTCCAAAACTGTTTGACGCGAACTTCATGCTCTGCCAACTCTTCTTGATCCCCGTCCTTCTCTCGCTATCGGTGTCACTCTGGTTCTGCAACTCATCTTTGGTGTTGGTCAAGTCATTAAGGAGCTGAAACTTCTTTGCGGAGAAAGCAGCCTTCACATTACATATTAACTCTTAATACATGGGCTGCATTAATGACGTAGTGTTAGGGGAAAGGAAGACCACTTTTACGTTGGGGTAACGATCCAACAGTAGGGGCGAGTGTCCTGGTGCGTTGTCAAGGAGCAACAAAATGTTGAATGGAACATTCTGTTGCTCGCAGAATTTCTTCACGTCGGGAAAGAAACAGTCGTCAAACCAGGAGAGGGACAGACCAGTGAACATCCACGCCTTACGTTCGGTTAGCCAGTGGACATTTAGCTTGGTCATGTCCATGTTCTTGTAGGCGTGCGGCTTGCGGGCTGTGTGGATCACCGATAACTTGAGCTTACAGGTACCGGAGGCATTGGTGGTAAACAGGATGGTGATGCGTTCCCTCTGCAACTTCCGGCCCCGACACTTGCTGGCAGACTGGACAACGAAGGTCTTGGAAGGTAACTTTTTCCAAAACAGACCGGATTCATCCATGTTGAACACCTGGTCGTGAAGAGTATAGGATTATCCCCCCTGCATGCCAATGACCTCACAACTACTTTGTGTCAAGTTGTCAAATATCATAACATCCCTCACTTGATGTTTCTCAGTTGTTCTGGAGCTTGCATGCCAATTCCTCAAAAGGGAGGATTCCACTAAATTGAATGTTAACACATTACTCATGATTTATGGATTACAGTTTAGGTGGCAAATGCAGCTTCGTATTGTATACAATGGCAACAGCATTTACTACACACTTATCTGAATATTACAAAGGTGTACACATAGTATCACCCAATACATAACATTATAGAACAATAAAGCCTCGTATGAGCATAGACTTACGTGTAACAGGTCTTATACTAATCTGTAGGGGATAGTGCTCACAGCTCAACATTGTGTCTTGAACTGACCCACCTAGGACAGATGGAGTACAGATGATATACAGCGTCATTGTGTGCTTTCAGCAGAACCGGCACCATCAACACTGCTTGCCTCTTCTCACTCCTTCAACTTAACTAATTAACTCTGTGTTCATATCAATTATTTTTTCATATTACCATTATCATAACACCCACATATGTTATCACAAATTCCACAATTGCCGCTCGCGCAGTGTGGGGCGGTAACAAACACGACCCAAACTCTGGACAATGCTTCCATTGTCAGGTGTATGGCCATGTCAGCTGCACTTGTCGTAAGTTACTGTACAGCAGGGTGTTCCTGCAGTATGTGTTAACTGTGGTAAAGTCTGTGAGGGTCTGAAATGCAAGGGTCTGGTTAGCTGTTTTTACTGTAGTTAGGTGCTCCCTGCCATCGTTTAGTGAATGTGACCGGTTCCAATTCAAGAAAGAGATACTCAATATCTGCACGAGAGACAAAGTGAGCTTTGCTGAAGCCAGAAGCACAGCACTGAAATCTGTCCAGACAAAAGGCTCAATCTGAGAATCATCTGTACCTGTATTGAATTCACCTCCCACCCCAACCCTATGCCACTAATCCACAGTCCTTAGATTTTTCTTGTAGTGGCTGAAGTCTATATGGATAAGGCAGGTACATCTGATACGCCTCATCTTTCCTCCACCCACCATCCTGGTTCAAAATAATAAAAATACATTAGCAAAATGCTATCGAGGGTCCTCAGAGTCTTTGGAGGTGGACGATCCTCCGGCTAAGATCTCAATGGTGGAATCATCCTGCTGCTATGAAGGAAGCATGGCTATTTTGCCAACTTTGGAACCCATACACTCCAGCAGATGACAGCTTAGTCTGGCGCCTCCTCCCCAGATATGTCGACTGAACCTCTGCTTCTGGTAATGGGGGGGTTTACTGTCAGCAGCGCCCTAACCCGGGGCTTAAGGGTTAGAGCCCCAATAATCAAGGCTACCATCGTCCAATGGAATTGTCGATGCTTACAAACCAACTGGGAGGAACTCCAGTTGCTCTTGAGCAAATTCTCCCCTATATGCATTTGTCTCCTGGAGACAATGTTAGGTGCCTGTGATCATCCCCCTTCCAGAGGTTATCTGACTTTTTTATTCTCCTTAAAATCCAAAAGAGACGCATCATGGGGGCACAGCCATCCTTGTCTTGGACAAGTGTGGTGTACCCTATATCCCATTATCCATCACAGCTCTATGGTCACCATGTGCGGTGTGTCACTGAGACCCATTTCCTGGGTATTATCTTTGATTACCGGCTAACGTGGTAGTGGTCCATCCATTAACAAGCAGTTCAATTTACGAGATTTCAGTTAACGAGTTAGCTCCCGTAAGGACTTTCAGTTCTATTAACTAGTACAAATTCTATTAACGACAGCCTTACAAGAAACACGTTTTGGTGTGCACAGCAGCTGATCGACTAGTCCACCAATAATCGGTTCTATGTTTACCTATGTGCTCTTGAATATTTTTGCATTTTACATTAAAATTATTGGTCATTCTGAAATTTAATTAACATATTCATAATATAAAGTGCAGAAATTATTAAGAAATACAAAGAAGGCATTAGTACCAATGCACTCTATAAAGAATATGGCATGTCGTCATCGACTGTGTCTGCAATCAGCTGTTTGTGCTGCCGCTATGTAAACAAAGCCGCCGGGAATTCTACAAACACACCTCAAATTAAGTGTTAAAATATTTTATTGCTTTTATTTATTATTGTACAGTATACTGTACAGTACAAGTAAACCCCGTTATTCATAGCCTCAGTGTTCGTAACCTTGTTTATCCTCAATCAATTTATTGTTACCCATTTCCACTATTCACAATGTTTACCCCGTTTATTCGCAAATTCTTACGAGCAAAAATTTTTAACCACGTGCCTCGACCGTAGCGTAAGGCAGCTTGTGTACGTATTCCTCTGCCATACGCTCCCACTCGCCTCTGTCTAACATGTGCTGCCGTGTGTTTTGTGTGATTTTGTAATCTCGCAGTTGTGTTTTGTATGATATCGCAATGCCTAAGCGACCAGCTACTAAAACTCCCAGTAATGTTGTTAAGAGATCACATGTGGCAGTTACAGTGGACGTAAAGTTGGATATTGTAAAGAGACATGCCGGTAAACACGGAGAAGGAATGTCAGTGATTGGGCGTGCAACCTTCTGGAACGAATTGTGCTCGTTAACCAAGGGACCACTGCATCAGCAATGTGAGCAAAATAATTAGCTGTGTTACTTATGTATATGAGAGTTATGTATATAAAGTGTAATGATACTGAAGATATTACTGCTCCTGTAAAGACCTTTAGACTGGGATTATCCAGATTGTTCGATAAAGGGATGGCAAATGAGGAAGCTGTATCAGTGGAGTGAAGGGGAGAAGCAGGCCATGAGTATGGTGGTGATGCAGATGACACCGAGCTGGTTGGTGAGGAGAGAGATGGGAGTGGAGGGGTTGGATCTCGGTGCACTATGCACTTTGAGCAATATTACAGTAAACCCTTGTTTTTTACAGGGGTTAGATTCCAAGGAATGGCGCAAATAGGCAAAACCGCGAATAGCAACTTATACTACAGGTACCTTAGTGCACTACTGTATACCTATACCAAACAACCGACCAGCTGCGGCAACACTCATCTCCTCTTTTAACTAATCTAATAATTCAACTTTCTTTGTCAGGGTCATCACTGACTTCTGCCTTTTACATTTCACTCCACTAACATCACTAGCACTGACACTAGGCAGTCTTTTAGGGGCCATTTCGCGCAGAAACACTAAGTTTTGAGAGTACAGCACGAGATGCCGCATCATAGGTATTGGTTGAACGTGAACAGAGGGAGAGGAGACCCTGCGGGCATGTGGGGTGACTTGTTGCCCAACAGAAAAAAGGCTCACAAGCTAGCCACCATCTGCTTACCGCTAATCGTCGAAATCGTGAATCACAAACCCGTGAATGGCAAGGGTCTACTGTACTTCTAATTTCCTTGCCTTCATCTTTGTGGAACGAACACTTTACTCATTCACTTCAAACACACAGCCAACCGCTGATGCACTCATGCCACTGGCAAGTTTAATTAACACATCACTTTCCTATGTCAGAGTTATTACTTTTTTCACTCTTCACCAGATGCACTCCCACTAGTTAATGGCCTTTTGGGAGCCGTGACAGTTATAATTAATGTTAGACTTGCTCTCAGATGATACTGGAGGAAGATACTGGATAACACATATGCAGTATGTACAGGATATTAACAAAATATCTAATTCAACAGCTAATAGAAATTACCAATTCCCATAAAATTGAGAGATGCACTCTCTTACCCTTCTCTTCACTGGATTTAGCACTCACTTTAGGCATGGTGACAAAGCTATACATGCACAAATGCTGGTAGAATATGAAAAACCTGGGACTACAACAATGTGTGACAAGGCAAAGTGGAAAACTGAATAATTGCACCCAAACAATGATGCAAGCCCGCTCAGACATTACAGTAAACTCCCTTCATCAAAAGGAAGGCTCCACTAGATGGAAAAGCAAATACCGGCACAAATTCATTCCGCTAAATCGAACTTCTGCTCAAAAGAATTTCTGCTATAAGGAATGATTATTTTTTTTATTACAGGGGAATGACAATTTTTTTATTTTCTATACACTTTACTGTAAACCGAAAAGTACAAACACAATTTGACATTTAACTAATATGGATAATTTTTTTTTACAGCAACAAGACAAGCTCAGCAGACCTGCTTGGACTAAATCTTAATTTTGGGACTACTGAGAGCAGCCCAAAAGGTTTATTGGGGACCAGTGTTGGAGGTGACACATCTATAAATCGACCAATGTCTCCAGTATCTAAAGGTATTGTTGGTTAAAAATTTTAAATGTAGCTTTTGGTTTGTTTTGAGTAGCAAGCACATATTTTTGTGCACCGTGTATATAAAATCAGTTAGAAACATTGAAGTCAGGTACCATACTTAATGAATATACAGTAAGTTAGTATTTACTCTCTAATAGGTAGTAGGTAATAGCCAGCTATCAAACAGGGAGGTACTACTGCCTGGAAAGATATTGGAAACATAATTAGTTGTCTGTTGGTAGACCCTGCTGTCAAATTGCATCACAAAAATTATGACCAAGTCCCAGGTTGCTGATCTGACTACACAATATATATATTGTTTCTCACTCTTGATCTGTTTTATTTTTTTCCATTTCTGCTCTTTGGCTCCGTTGATTGTGTTTTATTGCCATTTAGACGTTCTGAACTTTATTTTGAAACTTATTTGACATTGCCAGTAATGTGATTGTGTTGTAGGCTGACGTAGCATACATATTTTTGCATTATTATTGAAAAATTAGACAATAACCATGGCCACTAAGAAAGTGTTTGGTGTTCGTAAGGGTGGTGAGAAGGATAAGTCTAAAACCTTATCAGTGAACGAAAAGTTAAAGGTGATTGAAAAGCTAGAAAAAGGTGCTGCTCCCTCGCAAATATGCACTGAATATAGAATTTCAAAGCACTCAGACTCAGGTGACTGCAAGCCTCCTGCCATCAGAGGCATGTCCAGCTGGATCTACCTTCCAATTTTGGGGGTAAGTGTACAGTACTGTGTGTACATTACTTCTTTTAATTAATTGGATACATTGGTTTTGTATTTGTTTTTTGTTTTTTTTTATTATTATTATTATTTTATTTTATTTTTTTATTTTTTATTTTTTTCTCCGAGGCGGACAACTTTATCCCAGACACCCCCCCCCCCTCCCAATTAGTCTACTTTAGCAAGGTTTTGCTGTACTGTACTAATAAATAAAATAAAAGAAAAAATACTGCATTGCCAGTTGGCAGTAGTTTCGCTAGGTGTGGGGAACTGGAGCGGCTAAGACCTCTACCACCACTCACACCTCACACAATCCGGGTGACTCCAGTGGTTGTAAGAAGTTTTTATTATGTTTATGTTTTTGACCTTATGATGATCATTTCTTTATTTTTAATTTTTTTATTTATTTATTATTATTTTTTTTTTTTGCACATTATGTATGAAGATTGTGTGTGCATATAACAGTTAAAAAAAAGGCATAAATCTACCCATAAAATAATGAGATGAAAAATACCAATAACCAACTCACAGCACATGGGTCACTTCACCACCACCACCACCATCAACAACACTCATCACTACCTACAACACTAACCACCAACAACAACACTCACCACCACCTACAACACTAACCACCAACAACAACACCCACCACCAATAACAACACTTGTTTTGTGTTGCTATTTCAAATACAAAACTTCAGTAAACCCTCAATAACTTGACACATTTGGGGCTCTGGCCTTGCCAAGTTATCCCAAATTCCGATTTATCGAGGCACTTCCCCCCTCCTACAAAACTCCAACAATAAAAAATTATTGAAACCATGTATGTGTACATGTAATTACTAAATGTAAAAAAATAACACTTATCAGCACTGCAGGCAAAGAATGAAGCATTATCGTAGGTGACACAGATGCATGGTAGGTGATACAAGTGGCCAGATATGCCAAGATTTTCCCAGATAATTTTACATATCTCGGCATTTCCCGATTTATACAGTGGTCCCTCGGTTAACGAGCACAATCCGTTTTAGAAGGTTGCTCGTTAACCGAAAAATTCGTTAACCGAAACCATTGTTTCAATGGGTGTTTGGGTAATTGGTTCCAGCTCACCGAAAATTGCCTAAATTCAACAAAAAAGTAGAAAAGTACACTTACTTTGAGGTGTGTATGTAGAAGGCTCCTGGATGATGATGATGGTGATGAGAATTAGAATGGGGGTGGAGGAGAAGGGAGAAGAGAAGGCATTGGGATGGAAAAGAAGTCTCCCCATGGCGCCATTTCACCCATAAAATTTTAGTTCTCGGTGTAATTCAAGATTATTTTCTTTAAATCAACACTGCACTGCATTATATATTGTCAATATGTAAAATAAATTTCAAAATGACCAATAATTTGCTTGCAAACACAGAAAAAAAGCGTTTAGTTGAAGAGAGTCTCAAGCAAGATGTTACCTCCACTGAAAAGACACTAAGACTGACGCCTGTATGGTGTGTTGAAAGGCTGGATGGCGCGCATAAAACTAGTTTCATTACCTTCAGTTATGTTCAATAATTGTTAAAATGACTAAAAAATTTAATATTAAACTTTTAAAATTATTGAATACAGGTGGACTATCAAAAATCCGGCAACCTCGGGACCTGAGGAGTGCCGGATTTTCGAAAATGCCA